CGAAGTGGTGTGTGTGTGACTAAAGCAAAGATTTAGTGATACAAACGAATTATTAATAACATGTAATAATAACTAATCCGTGCAATAAATGGGTACGAAATTGGGAGAGGAGAGCGAGTCACAGAATTCTCAAAGAAGGCCAGACCGAGACGAATAAATAGTGAGTGAGTGAGTGAGTAGTCGGTTATTAGCAGTGTGGTGGATAAATAAAGTGAGCAGAAAAGTCGGGATGAGAAATGATTTCTCTGCGGAATGATAATCAAAGCATTTATGCACATAGCCTTTTCAGCCAAAAGTCCAACAACGTGGCTGCTGCTGTTGCGATATTAAGCAAATCATTAACGGTTTGAGCACATCTTTTCTGGTTGATGAGAAGCATCCGTGACATAAAATAAAGAGGAATTAGGGACGGAGCCTTAAAAACAAAGAGGTTCATTACGTAGGAAACTATGACCGTTTGTGTGGGTTTTGGTATTATTTTCTCAAAACTCTTCTTTATATTTCCAACTTATTTCCAACTCGGATTGCTTGGAGAGTCTGGTTTAAAAAAAGAATTATTATCATCACCAAATGACTGTGTGGAGCTAATGAATGTAAAAAAAATGGGAGATCATGGGATTTTGCTCCTCTCTCTCTCTCCTTGTGTCTGTGAGTAATATCTTGAGCAGGTATATGCCCAAATTTGGTTAATAATAATATGCACAACCGGGGTTGCCACATTTATTACTTAACCTTAGGGCTTTTGGATGGCAAATTATATTCATTGTTGGTGGTGGGAGTTGATACCAAACTGAAACTTATTCTCTCCCCGGACCATGTGTGCTTTTGATCTCTCTCATTATTCTCTGACTTTACATTTCTCTTGTAACCGCACCACCATCGCCCCACTTGGCTTGACTCGGATTCCCATTGTTGATTGTGTTCCGATTGGCTTCACAAAGTCAACTCCTGTCTTTCTTTTTGGACTTTTGAACTTGGAGAGAGAGAGAGACAGTCCCATCAAATATATTCGTGTCTCTCTCTCTAAAGGCCGTGCATGCATACCAAAGTGAAACCCCAAATATTACTCCAGATGAGACACGTTACGTATAGTTCTGATTGAGATCGAGAGCATGGTTGGCTGGCTGGCTTGATGCAGTGTACACACAATATTTCTCTACTTCGATGGTCTGATTGATTGTGTGCGATGGCACTTGAGTTCTGAATCTCACAAAATCAAGCAAACCCATGTATATAATAAAATGCATAGTGACGGGGGGAGAGGAACGAGGGACAATAGCTGTTTGGTCATAATTTAAGATTATATACACTCGTAAAGTAGAAGGATGGAGTGGTGGATTACTATTATTATTATTACATATTTATCCTCCTGTGTGGGTTTTAATTTCATTGGGAAATTGTTTTAGGTTAATATTGCCGTGTGTTGTGCACGTATTTATGTACACACGAGTAAGAAAAGGATCTTGTTATTGGGGACAAGAAAACAGTTTAGTTTGGAGCTAGCAACAATCTCTCGTCTCTCTCTCGCACCGGTGTTGTTGTTGAGTAAAAGAGATGTGATAAAAGTCCTAAAAATTAAAAGCTATAGGTTGGCACGACGTGGTGGGAGATTCACGAGCGTCGTGACCGAGGTTTCTAAGTTTATGACAGGGTCGTGGTGGAGGGACCCAGCCTCCACCGCTCGCCCAAAAGGAGCAAAAATCAACGCTGCTTTTACTGCTTGTTCTCCTTGTTTAGTCTCCTTTTTTCTCATGAAAAGCGCTTTGGTGGGGCTGTGTGAAGAGAGTAAAAGATCGCGTTGTTATCATCTCCCTCTGATCCACCTCCGAGCTCACCCTTCCTCTTGGCGCTCATCGTCGTCGTCGTCGTCTGCATAATGTTCTACTAATCACTCATGCATAAGTCTGGAGTCAGTCAGAATTGCTCGCACATGAAATCCTCTGAGCAGCAAGAATTTGGAATTTTTCCATAAGTTGGTCGCTTGTGTGAAAGAACATCCGTGTGCCGTCCGTCCGTCGTGGTAATGTAATAACGCCAGAGGAATATGAGACTATAAGGAGGAGAATGAGTGCAAAAAGCCCGTCTCTTCAAAGTATGCACATATCTGTCTCTGTGGGGCTAAAATTGGCCTAGTGGAAATGAGTTATAGAAGCTGCTTGTATGATGACGAGAGTTGGTGTATGGATGATGGTGTGTGCGTGTTGTATATCTATGTGCAATGTTTATTTGGAATGCCAACAAGGTTTTATTTCCGATCATAAGCATGCTGTAGAACATCTGGTTCAGTTACTGACGACGACGGCGACGACGATGACGACCAAGTGCCTTGATGTTACTTGGCGCACAGCGAAAGCATCAAACAGCGTTGGTGAACTTCCTCCCATGTAATAATACCAACGTAAGGAATGAACGAATGAACGATCTGCCTCCTCTCCTGTTCTGCTGCTCTTTCGTCCATGTCATAATCATATTCATAATAGGTCATCTCACCTTCCTCCTCCTCCTCTTCTTTCACGTCTCATTGTGAACGTTCTTGTTGCCAGGCAGAAGAAGATCTCTTGTAGGTTGCCACCACCACCGCTCACTGCCGACAACAACGACCCACAACAAGAGTGACTGCTGGCTGGTACATAAGCAGGTTCTCAAATAATGGTGTCATATGTCAGTTTGCGAGCTCTAGTTTCGATTCCTGATTTATCATCAGCCTTCTACTTAATCAATCCAACAAATCATAGCAAATGATCTCACCCACCAACCGAATATGAGATAACATACATTCCCTCATGTAATTACACGCACATTTCAATCAAATCAACTCTGACTAGAATTTATAATCAGCACGGTTCCTTCCTTCTTAGCTAATTCATTTGAGATGTTGTTGTTGTTGATGATGATGACTGTATGGGACTCGCTGCAGGCTGACTGGGTGGAATAGTATCATTAGGGATAAATAGTAGAACTATTGAACGAGGTACGCAGGTAGGCAGGCAGATTACAACACCCGTCCGTCGTAATACCTGTTTCGTTTAATAATGAGCCCCCGTGCACGGGATGGACTGGACCAAAGAGAATCTTGGTTCTTGATCATCTTGGCGTAAGACCAGCAGTATGTAGCGCAATGCAATGGATAGTGACTACTCTTTGGCACGTGCTTTTCTGGAAAATCTAGTTATCTATTCGAATGGCCATTGACGGGGCATCTTTACACACACACACACTCAATTACTCGAACCAATCTTTCACATTTCTCCAGTCACCCGTATTCTCATCCTTCTCATTATTGTCGCTCTGTCAACATTTCCACTTTTCTATCTGCATATCAATCTTTTTCCTTTGACGGGAGTACGGATGGATACAATGGATGGATGGATGGATGGATGTATGTATGTACTTATATTTACACACATGCATCCACTTGGCTCAAGTCTTTAGTTTTACAGAGATGTTGACAAGAAGAAATATTACTTTGACACTCCAAAGCATCAAAAAGCCCCATTAATAATTTTTCCATCTCTTATAAGAATGGATTATCAAACGAATTTTACACCCGTCTCAAGCCATTCATTTGAGAGCGAGTGAGAAGATCGTTTAGTTGCCTTTCCCCACTTCTCACAAAACCGTTCAAACGCCCTCAGAAATGTAAAGGAAATTTCCGTCATTCATTCCTCCTTGTGTGTGCACGTCCATGTGCATATCATTTTGCTTCGTTCGTGGATGGCGAGGAAGGAGAGAATGAATCGTTCCAAGGAAAAGGAGTTGTATGCAAGTCTGTTTTTTAAATATCGCCACCCTTCTTGTTCCTCTTGGTCTTTTTTCTCCTTCCATTTGTACGAGTAATATTTTGGCATTCAGTTTTTCCCTTTTATGAGCGAGTGGAAGGAATTCATCTCTCTGTGCAGCGGATGGATGGATGGGTTAGAATCTAAAGAATCTAAGGTTTCGATGGGTGGATGATAGGCCAATGCACTGATTTCGTTCTCGAGGGACAGTTGAGCTGGGAACAGGAGATGAGGAGGAAGACGGCGACGAAGGTGGTGAAAGGATTCTTCGTCTTGGTGGCTTTGTGATGGTGTTTTTGAGACGAGAAGTCTGCCTGAGGGAAGAACGAGTCGTGCTTAGTGGAAAAATCCTGCTTCGCCCCCCGTAATAGCGAAATTACTTACATTTTCTGTTTCACTTTTATTGCGTTGGATCACGGAATATTGCATGTGTCACTAGACGCCCCTCTAATAATCGTCGCCGTGTCGTGTTTGACATGTCAATACTTCTACCACTACTACTCTCCTACTGGGCAGCAGTAGTGTTAATCTTCGACTGTGTCGTAATAATTCGTTGGCTCGCTATACACAATCCAGACCGCTTTTTTGACTTTTGCAGAATGAATCGTACAATGACGAATTCCTATTTACGACGTATAATAATCTCTTACAACATGCATGTGTAGTATTATTGCTGTCGTAATATGTAGCGCCCACCTTTACGTTACTCTTGTACGTACAACAACCACCGGTCATCCATCCATCTGCCCAAACGTAAGTATGCTAGCTTGCTGGGGGGTAAAAGTAGTGAAGTACCACGATTGATTGAGTCAATGGTGGTGCAGATGGTGGGCTATTTTATCATTTATCAGACCCACATAAAAGCTCATTTGCCGAAATGTTTACACAGATTCTATTACGCTGGACACACACATCTCGTCATAACTTCCAGAGCTAGCAGAGTAGGAAGCAGGCAGGCAGGCAGGGCAAACGGACGGAGGGGAATGTTATACTGCATATGAAATAAAATTACCCATCGTCCAATTCCATTTTCATTAAGATCGGAACAGCAAAGGTGCATATCAACGTAACAAATTGTCATTTTTATCTCCTGGCTCCTGATAATTGTACCACAGAGTCCACCTTTTAGGATGATGAATGTGTTTTAGCATGACGACAAATCCGTAACCGGATCCAGCCAAAAGTAGTAGTAGCAGCAAGATGTACATGTCTTTTTTATTTTATTTTTTCAGGTAACTCTCAACGGTTGGGTAAATCGAGCCGGATACGAGGAACACATGTACCAACCAGCGGTGTCGTGGTCGCATGCATGCATGCATTCGTTTTTGAACATCTCTGATCGGCCTGAATAGTTGTCTCAACCTTGTTTTAATTTCGGGTGAGCAAAAATTCAGGTGAATCTGACATGCATTCAAAATCAACTAAGGAGAACAAATCATATGGAGACTGGGGAGGGACTAGCTCTAGAACTGGAACAACTACAATGAAAATTCAAGATACAAGGAAAAAAGTTTCTCAGTAAAGAAAGAGTTCTGATCCGGCGCCTGATACTTGCTGTAATCTAAGATTTGATAAGAGAGCAGATGAGCAAAGTTCAGGTGTGTGGATTGAGCCCTAATTTCACCTTTAAAAGAGTCCATTCTTAATCATTCATTCCGAAAAGAAAATCTTTGTCAAGAATTAATGACGTTTAATATTCCATGGATTGCGGTATTTTACGATAATTACTTACTAATTTACACAAGAATATTGTATGATTAATTGATGTGTATATATTGTGCTTAATTTTACAGGTTCTATGAATCATTATAAATATCACGGGATACGTTGGGCGAAAACAAATGCGAACCAGTTCAGCGTGTATCAATCTGCCCAGTACCACTTTCTACAAGAACCAAGCAAAGAAGATGCACTTAATCCAATAAAAATTAAAAACAAAGCCTGTCAATCCATATGCATTCAACCAGACATTGTGAATACAATTAAACAACTTATATAGACCATAATAATAATGGTCCTTATAGCTACATAATTGTATTCAAACTAATTAAATTCGTCAGAGGTGCAATTTTTGGACATTATTCCATTTTGGTTATGCTGCATTTCAACTCTACATACATGGAAATGGGTAAATTTGTACCATGTCCAATTTTGTGGTTAGTTCCAAGGCATTCTTGATTATTGCCTTATTAGTATCGTAAACCTTACAGTACAAATAACCTATCAAGTATTTGATAGGTTTGCATCCCTTCGTAGGGATCTAACTACATCCACTTTAAAAAGTTGCATTTAAAATTAGGAAAGTTACTTGTTAATGTTATGCCGAGGTTATAATAATACGCAAATACATAGATAAGTCAAGTTGTTGGATTGTCGACTTATTTATGCACTTCAATTGTCATAAAGAGGACCGATCTGTTTTTTTGTAAAATGGCTGCATGTATCAAAAATCTTTCTTGAATTACTTACTACTGACTGGGAAATTCAGGCTTGCGCCTTTATACAGTTACAGTATTTAAATTGTTTGGTGGAGATTCTGAGAGTTGCCAGTAACTAAATCTTAAAACTTGTACAGTTGCAGCCTATATAGATAAGCAGCCAAAGTGGAGGGTATTTTATTTATACATCTCATCTGGGTCTTAATTATATTCAACCATTTTTAATATCGATTGCACAATTTATAATAAATTTACTAAAACTGGTGTGTGTCGTTTTGATGATGTACATAGATCCAGAAATTTAGACAATCTGACCTTGTATTTTTATTTTTCCCATACCAAGTTGCAACTTTCTGCGAAAATTTTCGAAAACCAACGGTGGCATCATCTTGCATACAAAAATTTGGTCTCGTGCATTTATCTAGTACATACTCCACCAACGTCTGTATTTCAGATCATTCTGAATATTCTGCACCAAACCCGACCTATACGACCCACTGGTCAACTACTTGACCAATGTATCAAAATCATGTGCCAATGTACCATCAAACTCACTCATTCATGAAAAATTTCAACTCGATTGAGTAAATTGAAAGAGAGTTATTGCGAGCAGACTGGCGAATCGTTCCCTGACGAGGGCTAAAAATTTGTTATTATTATTAAAATCAATTAGAATAGTGATATGCAGTAGCAATACACGAATCTATCTACTACGTATATATAAACTTATTTTATCCTATCCACAATTGCAAAAATTTATTACACTTATGTATCAAGCTTAAATAAATACGTGGCTGAAGCAATATTCCCTGAAAAATTATTTACTGCACTATTTCGTAAATTAATTAACCAGTTTTAGGCGGCCTAAAAGTAACAATGTTGAGTAAAGTCGGAGCAACCTCAACGCTTACGCACACCAGTTTTATCGAAATTAAAATGAGATTTCATCAGGTTTTCCATGGCTCGTAAGTTGTGAGTCACACTTTGTCGCTCACTTCCCTTTCTCGGTTTGGAGGAGAAAGCCAAGCAGCTCCCCACTTTGCCAAACTTTTCAACTCGACAATGTTCACTTCTCGGAATCGGGGAAAGTTTGGTTCCGTGTTTCCGCTTGGATGTCGCCCGACTTTCTTTTCGCACTCGTGTGTGCTCCTGTTTTCCCCATTTTTGGATGACATCGTTCACAAGTTGTGCAACAAAGATGTGCATGAATATGTTGACACAAAATAAACTATAGATTGAATTTACTCAATATTAGAGCGACTTCTTCACACTTTAGGAAATATGTATGTGAATGGGAGAAAACATACTAGGTACAAAACATAATTGTTGTTAAGCTTTATATTAACGAAGGAATAGTGTAAATAAATTGAAGAAGACAAAAATAACATGGTTTTCTATAAAATAAATTAACAAAGGTTCTTCGTGCAAGGTGTTATAAATATATTTTTGTAACTTTATGGCTGGGTGGACAGAATCACGGGACATCATAATTCAATTAATCCTACAGTATACTCCATCTATCGGTATTAGTCAATTGGTAGTTGTCTCCTGACAAGCCCCAGCTCCCATCTATATAAAACACATTAAAAGAAAAGTGCCATGCATGCCCCGGGCTAGTATATCACCTCACAGTCTTTTTGATGCAGACCCAGCTCACATCACTAAATTTTAGCTCGTGATTTTTTCGACAAATTCGTTTAATATTTGACCTTGTACAAATCAAGATGTCGTCAACCGGCAAGGGGGACAGGTAAGCCATGTTTGCTATTATTTTTAACCTAAGGGCAAAGAGTTATATATTTTTTAAAAACTTTTGTGACGACGTTGTCGCACATAACAGAGATGACGTAGTCACTCTAGAGAAAGAGGATAACGTGGTTACCTCAAATATATTTTTTGAGAGGACGTAGTCCCTCATTAAAAAAAAATTAAAAAGCACTGAAAACTTAAAAAGTCAAACTTGAACATGTGTTGTTATTATAATCGTTAGTGCTGATGACGTGACCGCTGGTCCGCCCAAACCGAAAAAGAGGAAGGTGTCCGTTTTGGCCTCTCATTCAAAAGCAATTGCTGAACTTCAGTCACTGCCTAATGAGATTAGGCAAATTAAGGAAATTTTGCTGGGTACGCAAAATAATAGCCAACAGAAATCAGTCGACGTTGTTGACGACACAATGCAAAGCTTACTCCAACATGAAAAAGGTTTGGAAATATTGGAATATTAATATATAAGAGGTATTCAGAGATGATATCTGTTCATAGAAGTGATTGATGATTCCACTCTCGTTGACGATGGACCGACATCTGAGCTCTTAGATATATTAAATGAAAGTCAGATTGAACCGGAATTTGGACCGGATTTGCATGTTAACGTGGCCAGTTCTTTTTCGAATTTGGGAAAAACAGTGTTATCTAAAGAGAAAATCGAAGAATTGAGGAAACCCTTTCTTACACCAGCTAATTGCAAACTTCTCGGAGTTCCAAGGGTAAACCCAGAAATTTGGACCGTATTGCCTCAAAAATCAAAGCAAGGAGATTTCCAATCCCAACAAATGTTAACAATCCTATCGAGCTCAACTGTTGCATTGGCTCATTTAGCAGAAAAAGTGATGTTGAATTCGAAAAAGATGCCCCCAGAGTTGAGTCAAGATCTTCTGAGGCTGACTATTCAAGCTGCAACATTGAATTCAAAATTGAGCCAAGATATCAATATGAAACGGAAGCAGGATATTAAGCCTGCATTAAGCACTGAAATTGTGGCAGTGTGCAACACGCCATCAACACCGGAGTTACTATTTGGAGACAATGTTTGTGACACCATCAAGGCCGCCAGAGCAGCTGCCACTGTTATCAGGACGTCCACAAACCGGAGAGGATTTTCCCGTTTTTCAAACAGACCCCAAAATACTTTCACTAATTCCTCAAGAGGTACATATTTAAACTACAATCGGGCCTCCTACAGCCGAGGGGGCCCGCGATTCAATCACAGACAAAACTTCACGCAATTCAACCCAAGAGGATCGATGCTGCGACCTCAATGGAGACCACCGAGTCGATCGCAGTAAATGTAAGCAGGGCAAGAAAATTAAGTTTATATTTAAAAAATTGGGAGAAAATTACGAAAGACAAGGAAATTCTAGAGGCAATCGAAAATTTTCGCATACCATTTGTGAGTATTCCATGCCAAAGTAATGCACCAGAGCCATTTCGATTTTCTGAGGTAGAGTTACCATATGCTAGAAAATGTGTACAAACTTTATTAGATACTGGTGCAGTTGTTAAAGTGTTGCCTTGCGAAGGTCAATTTGTTTCAAGAATATTTCTTGTCCCAAAGAAGGAGCCAAATTCTTACAGATTAGTGATCAATCTTAAATCTTTGAATGAGTATATTCTATCTCCTCATTTTAAAATGGAAAATTTAAAATCAGTTATTAGTATTATAGAAAACAATTGTTGGATGGCAACTTTAGACCTAACGGATGCTTATCATGCCATTCCGGTGCACCCAGATGATCAAATATTTTTAAGATTTTAAGATATTTAGACCAATAATGGCATTATTAAGAAAGAGAAAGTTTATTTCTAATCAATACCTTGATGATTTACTTCTAACAGGTGGAAACAAATCGGAATGTTTAAGGAATATAAGGTCAACTAAATGTTTATTGACTTGGTTGGGTTTCACAATTAATGAGAAAAAATCTAAATTAATGCCAAGTCAAGTAGTTGAATACTTGGGTTTTGTTTACAACTCGAAACTCATGCAAATTTTGTTACCTGCACGCAAGGTGACTAAAATTAATGACATTATTTTGAAAGTTTTACAAAAGGAGACAATTAAGATTCAAGAGTTAGCTAAATTGGTAGGGAATCTGGTAGCAGCTAGTCCTGCTATACGTTATTCGAGTACTTACATAAGACGCTTAGAATTGCTGAGAAATGCAGCATTAATTCAATGCAGTGGCGATTATAATGGAAAATGCACAATAAATGCACAATGTCGAGCAGACATTCAGTGGTGGCAGAGAAAGTTGCCAAATTCATTTGAAACTATAAGATCGGACAGCTTTGTCTTGACGTTGACCACTGATTCGTCTACGACTGGTTGGGGTGCCCACACTGAGTCACAAGTTACACGAGGTTTTTGGTCAACAGACGAAAAGCTTCTTCATATAAATACACTAGAATTGATCGCAGTGATTAATGGGTTAAAATCATTATGCTCGAGTTCATCTGATTGCAATATTCTAGTTCGCAGTGATAATACCACCACTATAGCATACATTAATAAGTTTGGGGGATGTCGCTCAGAAATAAATTTAAAATGGGCTAGAATCCTTTGGCAATGGTGTGAGGAAAGAAATATTTGGATATTTGCATCATATATCAAATCCTCGCAGAATTATATAGCGGACAAACAATCCAGGGAAGAGATTGATAAGACGGATTATTCCTTAGATCTGAAATCCTTTAATCTTATTTGTGATCACTTCGGGACGCCCGAAATCGATCTGTTTGCCACCACTTATTCTGCTAAATGTACCAGATTTGCGTCTTGGTTTCCAGATCCAAATTCCGAAATAGTTGACGCTTTCACTTTCCGGTGGTCACAATATTTTTACGCATTTCCACCCTTTTCTCAAATTTCGCGTACAATAAACAAAATAAAACATGAAAGGGCAACTGGTATTGTAGTTTTTCCAGACTGGTGTACTCAAACATGGTATCCTCAATTTTCGAAACTTCTAAAATCCGAAGTTTTGGTTTTACATCAAAATACTTATGATTTAAAATCCCCATATGATGATTCTTCTCATCCTTTATGCAGGAAGATGAATCTCATGGCAGCAATTTTATGTGGCAAAACGACCAGTACCCCGAGAACGTAACAAAATTACTCCGTTCATCGTGCCAGGATTCTACCTGGAAACAATATTCTTCAAATTTTAAAAAATGGACGGAATACTGTACCATTAACAATCTCCCAGTTTGGAGGCCTTCAATTAATAGTATTTTAGCATTTCTTGCAAAACTTCATGACGACGGATTAGGGTATACCTCAATTAATTCAATGAGATCTTGTCTTTCTACAATGATAGGGAAAGTTGACGGGCAAAATATAGGGACTCATCCCGTCGTGTGTCGCCTAGGGGTAGCAAACAGTCGACCCCCCAAACCAAAATATGAAAATACATGGGACTCTAACTTGGTGCTTCAATTTTGTAAAAATTTAGGCAAGAATTCGAGATTAAATATTATTGATTTGTCACATAAATTAGTGGCCTTGTTGGCCCTGACCACAGGCCAACGAGTACAAACCTTATCTGCTATAAGTGTTCCCAATATTAATTTTAAAAGTGGTTCATGTGAAATCGTAATTTATGATAAATTAAAGTCTAGTAAGCCAGGTAGTACGACAATTTTATCCTTACCTAATTTTTTAGATATTAACTTATGTGTAGTTAAAACCTTGAAATGTTATTTAGCTAAAACTAAAGAGATACGGAAAACAGATAAACTGTTCATTTCTACACGAACCCCTTATGGGGCCGTTTCTCGAGATACGCTTAGTCGTTGGTTAAAAATAGTATTAAGTAAGTCCGGTATTAATATTAATGTATACTCAGGTCATAGTTTTCGTCATTCTTCTACCTCGAAAGCTCATGAACGAGGAGTTTGTGTTGATTCTATTTATAAAGCTGCTGGGTGGTGTAATAACTCCAAAGTTTTTGCTAAACATTATCGTAGACCTATTATAAACACACACGAATTTGCAAATGCTGTATTGAATGGCTGATGATATTTAATATAAATGTTATAATAAATGTTGATTTAAACATGTATTCATAATTGCTTGTTGTGTAGCATTTTCTCATGAAGCTTTGAATTACTACCAATTGACTAATACCGATAGATGGAGTATATTGTAGGATTAATTGATAATTATCCGAGGACGGCGCGAAGCGCCGGACGACGGATAATTGTAATTATCCGACGTAATACGGAATCTTGAGGTATTAGCGCCTCACCCACCCACCCGATTGTTCATTCGAAAATGTTTTTTGGACTGTGAGGTGATATACTAGCCCGGGGCATGCATGGCACTTTTCTTTTAATGTGTTTTATATAGATGGGAGCTGGGGCTTGTCAGGAGACAACTACCAATTGACTAATACCTCAAGATTCCGTATTACTTCGGATAATTACAATTATCCGTCGTCCGGCGCTTCGCGCCGTCCTCGGATAATTATAATTATTGTTTAAATTTATAGAGTCGTGTTGTATGAGACAAGTATTCAAGTACGTATTTCACATTGTTTTGTATAAATATTTAAGAATTTTGTTGGGACGCTTATTTTGTTTATCCTCGTTCAATAATGTACATATGCATGTATGTATGTATCGTAGTGGAGACAACTTAATCTCACAGGGTTTTAATTTTACATATTAAATTGATCTATGATTCTTGTCACACGTCGAAACCCAAATACATATAATATGATTAGAAGAAAAGGAAAATCACATTATACGATGTGACAAATATTAGTAGCCACGTTGAATGGTTCGTTACTGGTCTCATTGTTGTTTAATTTATCTGTAGTGATTTAATAAAAAACAAACTATTTGTGTATTTGAATCTATTTTGAAATTTATTACTAATAACTGAACAATTAAAGATATGATTAAACAGTTTTAATAGTAAATATATTCCTTTCCTGCTTTCTCAAAATATAACTCTGCAATATAAATATATTTTGCAAGAAAATTTGAGGAAGGCCTATACACATAAACGCTGATCAGCAAGCCATGAATCAAAATGACGGAACGCATCTAAATCCGATCTGGGTAGCAACCCTCCTTTCAGTATTATGATTTATTTATTTAGTGCCGAAATATCGCATGTCAACATTTAAATCTATGGCAAATGAGTGATCACTTAAGCCATAAAAACTAACAAATAAGTATGTATTTTGGTAAAGAAATAATTTCCTCTACTCACACGTTGCAAATTAAACGTGAAGGGAGAAACCTTTACTAACTAGTTGCGAGTTTGCTAAACCTAATCCTAAGTTGAATACTAGAAAACTAGTGATGCATTACAAAACCTTACATTTAATTAATCGATAGCACAACACCGAGAATTTTTTCTTGAGCATGCAAATAATCTTTAGTGCACTTGATTACGCGATCATAACGGGTGACTCAGGATCAGTTGCTATATATTCCATTATTTCCCTTATACTCGTGCGATACTGCAGTGGTCCGTTGTCCACTGAGAAAGCTTGAATTGTGTAATAATCTTAACAAGCAGGCAAGTACGTATGCACATACTTGTGTTGTTATTTTTCAACTTATTTCTTTTATGCTTGTCATAAAACTGGGCGTAGGTTCCAAATTAGCAACACAAATGCTCCAACTTACTTATGGCATAATCTGAGTTTTTTCGATGGCCAGCATACATGACTTTCATGTCATTTCCTATCCGAAATCTTGATGCGTGTTCAACCAGGAAAAGGAGTTTATCTGTTTATCGGTGTAAGCCTGCCCAAAGGATAGCATCACGTAATCGTGGGCAGGAATTCTGTTAGTTTTGGTTAGGCCAGCCCTTCTCAAAGGGTAAGAAATAAGAGTGCACCCTTTGTATATATCATGCTTCGCTATATGTCGTCTACAATTATTATTGCAAAATGTAAAAGCTACAATTGCAATTTGTTCAATCACCAACAACCTCAAATGGCAATATTGGCGTTGGTGTATTCTACATATGTACGTAGAGAAATTCAGAAGAGTGCTACATATGTGATATGGTTCAAATAAAGAAAGTTAAAGATGTTTCCCATTATTTTAAACACGACGTTTGCAGCGAGTTACTAGTGCATAAAACACAGATTTTAACTACTTAAACATAATTTAAGATGACTATTGCTTACGCAGCTGCTGTCTTTTGCATTCCTAGTTCGGATCACTTACAAGTTTCTCTTTATTTATTTTTCTGCTTAAGCGCCCTTCTTTAATGGTAAGGAAACATTGCCAATGACCAAACCAGTCATTGTTTACCTTTACATTTTTATCTAGCCTCTGGAAACAACTTTAGGCTAGAAGAGTGGAAAAACGTTGAATGGACATAAGTTGCAAAGTGGGACGTTTAATGTGAACCGTTTAGAGTTAAGTCATACAGCGTGGGTCATTTTATAAATAGCTTTAATCACAACTGCTCAAGTAAGTATCATGTGTCAAACTGTATATCTGACAAAGGTACCAAAAATAGAAGCCTGACTTGACTAATCGAATGAATTTGTTTTCAAATGAATCGCTCATCTCAATCTCTTTCACATATCCACACAAGTATCTAGCATATCTGGAAAAAAGTTCATTTCACGTTCCTTGAAATGAGCAAAAAGTTCATTCTTTTGAGTACATCAGCGATTTTTAGAGCTAAGTTTATGAGCATCTACAATTTCTGCAAACAAAGCACACTTTGTGATTACATTTCATCACCAGTTGTAGAATTAGCATACAGCCAAAGGAATCAATTGCACCAATTTCCTCTAATTCGAATTTATTACAATGTTAATTCCATCCAGGAAGGCAGGGTTGTTAAAGGATGCCTATTTCCCAGTTCCATCCCATCGGGCACACGACGAGAGCAAACTAGGTTTATTTTTTTTGCAGAGTTGAAATGCTCGAATTGAGAATAAAAATGGAGAAATTATTCCATGATATCTGCAGTTCATTTGCAAGTCTGATGTAGGCACGACCCATGAAAATGAATAATTATGGTGTACGACAGGTTATGGAGCTTACCAGATTATAAATAAAAGCCTTCTTCCCATTTTCCACCATATTCACAGTGAGAAAATTACCGGAAGTTCATTAAAAAGATTTATTTAAGTTTGCTTGCTCTCTTTCTCCCCCTCATTGTATGCCCATAAGTGCAAATTACAATTCCCGACAACTCATGTTCCTAGGAAGGCCAAAGTCGCATTAATTGTTACATCCATTATGTACGGTTGCTAAAAAACTGCCAAATTAGAATCACATTTTGCTTACTTAATTTTAAAATATTTTATTTGCATATGCTACAGTTTTAAATTATTAGACTTGGCGTGTTCTGCTAATATGAAATACTTGTGTAAGTGAACTGAGCATTGCTCAGTTCACTACTTAATGGTCGATTTTGCGTAAAGAAGTGGAAGGAATGCATCTTCCTAATTAGACTCTGGGCAATTAGTATTCTAGTTATAATGTCATACTTTCAATTAAATATAATGAACACAGAAGGGGCATAGGAATAATATATGTCGTCCCAAAATTTAAACTTTTTTGAGAGTCAATTAGAAGATTTTATATTCGCCTAATTGAATTCTTAAGCTGTTACTTCTCTCATTATAAATCAATCCTTGTGCAAATGAGTGAATAACGTCAAACTTTGAATAGCGTTTTAATAACTATGTTCTTTTGATCTCGGAGTAATTTACCTTTCCTTCATTCAAGGGCAAATTTCCCTTTGACTTTTTCAATTCATGTCAGGTCGAGCTCATTGGGTAACCCAATTTTGTTCGTTGCGAGATTTGTCATTCATGATACCGCAATTACGCGAGTTCACATTATTGTATTTATTGATGGCTTCAGTTGAATACGTATTCGTACTATGCCTCGAATGGAACGAGTCTGGTCATGATCCATAAATTTACTTTCCCGTTTCCCCTCCCACTGCTTGCCATCAACAGTTACTAATTAAATATTTTAGAAAACCCTGCTGAGCTCTTGCGAACATTGGCAAACATTTTCCTTGAGCATGTGGATGATATCCCTGGGGTGTGAGTTGATTATAAACAAAAGAGGACAATTTGAAGTGTCAAAGAGGTTGAGTTTGACGGACAGGCTGAAATGAGAACTGGAACCACTGGGCCACAACTTGCAATCTGCAATGGAAGTCTGTCAGCCATCGTTCCACCAAAAGTGTCTTGCACCCACAGCCACACCTACACACACGCCTAGATTTACCACATTTGAGCTCGTGGTCGCCATAAATAGGCTCAATCATAATCATTTTCTACGTTCTAAATTCAAGAATATGCTTATCACCTTACCTATACGTTTGTGGGGCACATCCATGCAAAAGCAGTACTTACAATTAGCCTGTGTTACATGCGAGGGGAGGACCAATAATAATCTGGTTGACCATGATTTTAAAAAAACGGTGTGACCACCCCGTTTTTTCCTGTGGGAGATCTACTCATACATGTAGATATAGCAAACAAAATTTGTTCACGGCAGAAGCATGGAGATCGTTGAAAGTGACAAAAAACAGTGAGACACGAGAAACAAAACCTAGGTATAAGTGGTACGGCTTTGCTTAGCCCGAACCAGGGTTGATTAGTAAACCCTTGTTTATCACTAGTTTTCTATAAAATTATGTTCTACTATTTTGGACTAATTCCTGCATTAACTAGTGTCAATTCTTCATATTTCTTTGCACCAAATTCTGAAAACATTTAATGTTTTCCTCCAAGTAGGCAAGGAGAAGGGACAGTGGAACTTGAACAACGTAGGTCGCCCCTATAAAAATTGTGAAGTTCAAACCTCCAAATACTCAAATGCTAATCGTAAGTTATTTTTCGACCCCATACTAAATTTCAGCTGAATACGTAGGTGTTTTATTATTGATTTTCAAAAGGTGTGTTCCGCACTGTTTGTGACCAAACTTTTGATGAAATAACAAACTTCGAATACATTTAGGAGGTTGTGATTTTTTTCAGTTCTGTAGGTTAACATGAACACTAGAAATAAATCAGCAAACTTTACCTCGACGGAAAAAATGTCAGATTTGCAAATTAAATATCGTAGCGTGATTTAATTTTTAATGCTGGAGGGGCAATACGTGTCGCAGATTTATGATCGAATGCTTAAAATTTACGATGAAAACTGCCCAACACAAAACACAAATTCAATTGCGTCAATAATTTCAAATGATGGCGAAAAAAAGTCTCGGACAAAAAGCCGCTAGAACGCCCAAAATCTGTTTCTCCCACAGAAAGGCTCCGGAAACTAGAGAAACCAATAATGAGAGATCCGCGATTGAAACTGCCCTATTTAGCAGATGAGATGGGTGTTCCAAAACCAACAATTTGTTCCATGTTAACTGAAGTCTTCGGTATGAAAATGGCTTCCTCCCGTTGGGTACCAAAATTGCTTTCGGCATCTCAAAAACAGGATCGAATCGACTTTTGGAATGAAACTTTTGCCCTTTCAAATGAAACCTGGAACTTGATTTATATTTTAATAGTTGGATATGATACTTGGGTTTACTATTATGACCCGGAGACCAAATAATAATTCACACAATGGAAGCACGGGGGGTCGCCACCGCCCATGAAAGCAAAAGTGCAAAAACCTGCCAAAAAATTGATGATTCCCATTTTCAAGGATACCAAAGGTCCCCTCCTTATTACATTTATTGGTAAAAATACTATGATAAATGGGGCAGCCTATGCAGGAATTTCGAAGGAGCTGTGTGCTGTGGTTGAAGAAAAACGTGGGGTCAAAAAAAAGAGTTGGTGCATTTTTAGCACGCCAAAGCGCCACCTCATACCTGGCTTTTGCGAGGGCTGCTGCAGACGGAAATCGCTTCACCTAGATAAACCACCTCCT